CCGACCAACACCACCTGCTGCTGCCCGGCCTCAGACCTTCAGGGTCCGCACGGCACCACGCGCGACATTCAGAATTTGTCACTCTGTCCTCGATTTTACCCATTACGAGTCTTACTCACATGTACAGTTTTGTAAAGAATTCCACGTATTCTGTCCTTGACAAGTTACTGTCATCTCTTCAGCACCGTGAGGAAAAGTACAGTGAGCATTGCACTTTATCTGAACAGACTCTCCTCCTTCATACACAGATTTCGCTGGAATCACTACTCCGTGTGTGATCTCTGGGGCCTCACATACACCTCCAGTAACAAGTATATGAATTTACAAGTAAGTTCAGTGATAATAACCTTCAAATATTTCATAATTCATTAACTTACTCCAGAAATATACATTGCCTCTAAGGAAAAAAATAAATATTGAGCATATCTGAATATATTAACTTTACAGTTGTAAGTAAAGATGTTTCCTTTAGAAGACCTAAAAGAAACATCACTGTAGGTATTCATTAAGTTAGTATGATCTTGTGATGTGGTAGCCAAGAAATTCGTACTTGTTGGTTAATTATTTTTGGAAGCTCTAGAATCTCTTCCAGGTGTCTTATCAGACTCATTCATTGTGGAACACCCAAACATACTCCTTGCAGAAGCAGTTCTAATCTCGGAAACTCATTATTAGAGTACGCACATAAAAAAAAAAAATCTCTCACTGTACTCTACAACAACATTCCTTCTCCCTCTAGCACAAAGAGGAAGGAGAAAGGTTATAGAAGGACCTCTGCAATGTCTCCAGTCCTGCAAATTAGCCCTGACTTAATAATTTGCCTGATCAAAATCTAAAACATCCTACACACCGGACAAGCTGCCTGAAAAGTAAGAGTTGAAGAGCTGCACAAAAGAACGGAGACACGTAATGATTTTGATCACTCAGGAAGGACCCTGCAGGTTTCCTCATTGTGCGTATTCTAGTTCTGTCTATCAGACTTGAGAAACACATCTTTTCTCTTGTATTTACACACAAAATCTCTAGAACAAACACCACGATGCTATTACAGTCCGTCCATGTCACAACTTTCACATGCAAGTCTGGAACTCAACTCGCTCTCATCCAAAAGCTCTTTGGAGCAGAGTCACTCGAACACCTAAACCAGCTGCCCACAGACAAGGCCCCACGTCAACTTCCTTCACTTCTCATTTCCAATTGCAGCGTCACGATTTTAAATTTTAGCTAAAACAAAAGTACAATACCCTCAACACCCAAAAAAGTTGGATTCTTAGTTAAAGGCTTACTTTGTTCACAGGTTGGTTTTGAAGACCAGTTGTTATTTTCTTCGCAGGTAATCACCTGTGGTCCAACCAGCAGATAGCCTGGATCACACTCAAACGTGACAGAGTCCTTATAGATGTAGGAAGGTCCAAATCCAGATATTTTCCTTCCATTTTCAACTTCTGGGTTATCACATTTGACCACTGAAACAGGTAAAAGAAAAACAGCTCTGAAACAACACTCGTTAACAGCACCTTTGCAAGAGAGCACCCAGTGTAGTGCCAGAGGATCTGTTCATCCTTTTCTACAGAGAACATCCACCCTCTGCCCTCCCCCTTCAAAATCAGGGACAGATATTGCCATTTTGGAGGCTCACAGGCTATAATAAAGCGCACTAAAAATCCCAACAACCTTTGCATTGTGGAGGTGGTCCGCTCCAAACTCCATCCAAGTTGTCATTGTACGTGCAGTAAATCGTAGCCGGGCCAACGAGCGAGAAGGGATCCTGGCCCCCGGGCACGCTGTCACACGAGTAGGTGACAGTTGTCTGATAAAAGTATGCGTCCGCTTCTGTGTAGCGCCCGTTGGTTATGTCTGGAGGTGGTTCACATTGAATGTCTAGAAACAAGTCACATCCATCGGTCAGCAGAGTTTTTGCTCACCTCAGAAACAGCCAGCTTTGATCTTTTACATCACTTCATTTAAAGTCTAACACGCAGTTGTTTCTAAGGCAAGCCACAGTCTTTTCTTATGGGGGGTCACAATGTCAAGAAGAGGTTGACTTTAACCACTACAAGCTGATTACCACAAAAACTGACATTTTTCAGTGGTCATTCCCCAGTAGTTCCAAAAAAATTACAAATAAAAGTCAGCCCTATTTTACCATCATTTCTTACACCGGGAAGTTCATGGCAAAGCTGGTTTTACATGAACTACCACTATGTGCATATAAACTTAAATACGATAGCAATTTACTTACGTTCACAGTAAGGAACGTCTCTATTCCAGCCAACCCCTCCGTTCGTAATTACACAGGAAATTTCCTCAGTTCCAAGTAATCTGAATCTAGACGGGCAAAAATTTTTGCGGAGGGTAAACTTAAGAAACCTCTAATTTTTCCAACAAGCAAATAGAAACTTTGTTAATGTAATTCTGTTCTGTGACTGCAGGGACGTGGCATACCAAGTTTTTGTTGTAATGAGTACGGTATATTTCTTTATTATTTTCCTAACAGTATCAACTTTAAAAGCAAAAGAGAAGCAAATGAGACATCCCTAAAAAACCTGACATGTACTCTCCAGTAACAAAGAAATAAGCTGTTAGGAGAAAAGAGAGGAAAAAACCTTGCAAGAGTTAGCACTTTTGACTTAACTTGCTGTACCCAGACAGGTGGGACACTACTCAATATAATCATGAAGGCTGATGACTATCATAAATTTACTCCCTCTCCCACAGGAGCATTAAAAGAAGTCACCAGAGGTAACAGTCTGGTGTTCACTCTGCAGAATCTCACAAAAAAGCTTAAGACTTGGTTGATGCAAACAGCTAGTAAAATAAGGGAATCAAATCAAACGTAGCTATAATTGCACTTGCTCCAGGTAAAATTCAGGAAGTCATTTCAATGGAACTTGTGTAAGAAAACGTGGATTTATTTCAAATCTGGTCTAAGAAAAGGATTCATTAACTTCACCAAAATACTTACCCTTGTTCACAAAAAAAAGTAGCTTTTGAACCAAATGTAAGATCTGTCACATTAACAAAGCCATGTAGTAAGTCTCCTGGATGGCTGCATCTTCTCTCTAGGGGGAGGGGAAAAGAAAAAAAAAATAAAATCTACACCTTGAGATTATATATAAAGACTAAGACTTCGGCATATACCGCTCTTACAGCCATCAGCATTTTTCAAGCTTTTTTTAAAATACTAGAGAACACTAATTCTCGCTTGAAGAACAACTAAAATTGTTAAATATCCGAGGGAGAAAGCCAAAGGGCTCATGCACGCATTACCTGTACAGAACTGCTCCGTGGGTGACCACTGTAAGTCCAGACCACACGTACGAGAGGATGATTTTCCGAGGATTCTCATATAGCCCGGCCGGCAGACGTACGACACCGTGGTCCCAACAGGAAAGCTCTTCATCTCGCTGGAAGTCGCCTCGAGCTCGGCATAATGCAGCCTCTCTGGGGGCGCACACTCTGCCAGAGTGAGAGGAAAGCAACACACAATCTTGTCAATACAAGTGGAGGCATGACGGCAGGCAAATCTGGTGGGATTTAAGGACTCACAGACATCTCTGGTTTTAAGAGTGACGTCTAAATATACAGAGCTATCTGTACCTTCAACTTTTTTAATTAGAATTTTACTTGCACCCAACATCCAGCTGTACATTAGTACGGTTTACCCGTTTGTTTTCTCTTCTTTACCCAGACAATGCGTTTCCTTCCAGCTCATTTTTCGGTCCGTTTGCCTTATCCCTGC